CTTAATCATGATATGTGTTAGAACCTAAGGCCTTGTGAAACGGGGTGCGTGAAGATGACTGAAACAGCTCTTCATTCATAACTGTGAATAGATTGATTGTTTCTAGATGATCATATTTCCTCGTAAATGTCCTAATTAAAAAATCGGTATTTTAAGATTTCAAGATGTTAATATGTTGTGTGATTAATTTTATGCATACCTAAGTGACCTGATTATATTTTTAATATGGAAATTGTGAAATGAATATTAATAATGTGCTTTTATTTTTAGACAGACCTAGGCCTAGCTTGATAAGAAATGGAAAAAAAAAATAAAAGTAGGTATATGCCCAAGGGATGAATGTCTCATAAGCCATATCAAGCTCTATAGGAGAAAATTAAGTGTAGGTTAATTTGAGTCTTTTTAATTCAGTACATAAAAGGTGCTACACCTTAAGTTATTAATGTATTATGTATAGCTCTGTTTTTGTGTGGTTTGCGTTTAGAAAGACTGGAGTATGTTGAAAGGACAACAGCATCAGACACAGAATGTAAATATACTAAAAAGAATATAAAAATAAAAGTAGAAAAGTTGGGAGTGACTCACTAAATCATTAAAAACTTAAGGAAATCAAGGTAGCACTAACAACCTATGCAGTTAAAAAAATGGCGGTGTTCATAGCTGGAGGTTCAGCATAGGCCTACCTTGCAATGACTCTGAGTAAGCTGGATTGCATTTTTACCAAATTCTGGGCGAAAATAGAGGCTAGGCATCAGCGTGTTTTGCTGACTTACATATCTCGGACGCAGCAACACCAGCACCTCACATGAATCAGCCCATCTCATCCTCCAAACTTCAAGGAAACCTGACTGATCGGGGAACCCCTCTCCCTGCATGGCAGATGCAGAGGGAACAAGGTTCTACTAAGCACCCGAGGGCTCAAGGGGCTGGAAGCAAAGCCAGCAGCTGATTGGGGCCTAGCCAGTGTTCATGTAATCCCTTAAGATGGCGCCTCCTGCACCGGAGAGCTATGGGGGCACAGACCTCATCTGGGAAATCACGCAGCGCTTGCCTCTCCATGGGGGATCTACATTTGAATGTCCAGCAGTTTCCTCAAATCAGGAATCGGGTGAAGGGGCACGAAGCTCAAAGAGGCGATCCTGCCAGGATATGTCTCACTCTGGTTAGTTTATCAAGCAGTGGACTCCTGTATTTTATGTACTCTTTGTTTTCTCCTGATGTTATAAGTTCATTTTTGTTTTTACTTATTTTAACATGTTTAACACTAAAAGCCTGGCTCGGATCTGTTCTACCTACACTGGACTCTTAGTGGTATAGGCTAATAAAACTGAGTGGATCCTTCATCAACTAAGAATGGCATCCTCTAGAGCTCTATGTTTGCACATTAATTTCTGCCATTGATGCCCAGCAGTTCTATAGCAAAGCTAAATTGTACTATTGAGTCACTGAAATAGCTATATTTATCATTTGCTCGTCTGGAAAGTTTATTATTTTTTAAGGTTGTACACTCATCTCTGACCAGACCTGTTTACCAATCCTGTTTATAAGCTTCTTTTTCTTTCACAAAAAAAAAAATAAAAAAAAAAATTGCAGCACATATTGCTCATATATGCATATCTTTGTGGTTATATTTCATGTCACCTGCCTCATGTCATATCTGGAACATGCTTTGAAAAATGTATGGAACTGCACTCACTCCCATCAGTCTGAGCCAGGGTGCTTACTGTACCAGAACCAAACACCAGATTCCCAAGATCAGTTGAATCAAATAAAAGGGTCCAGGCACTCCTTGGTTCAAGACATGCACTTTATTGGAACCACAGCAACGTTTCGACCGAATAGGTCTTTATCAAGCTAACAAATACACCAACTGACAAAGTATATGTGGTAAATTTTAACAATCAATTAACAAGCAATACATAAGTGGATGCATGCAATTGGTAAACAGATAACAGCTGTACATCATTGCATGTTGTTCATAGTAATTAAAAAGTGTACTCATGAGCACTGGTTAATTTGCATTAATAATTGGTATAAAGAAATAAAAGCAAACTACTGACCATGTGTGCTTGGAAGACGCCAGATCACCTGTGGGCGTTGCGGGGGAACGCATACTGCGTTCCATTGTGGTCACTTCCGGGTTGAACGTCACCACACATGCGCAGATATGTGCAGAGGAAAGCAGAAATGTCATCATACTTTTCTAAGTCCGTGTGCATGCTCGGGTCACCGAGACCAACCAAGAAGACTGGGTGGTGTTATACAGTGAAATATATCTTGAACATGTACTTAACACTGCGCTCCAAAAATAAAGAATTAAGAAAAAAAAATTACATTTTAGAACAAGAAATACATAAAAACCACACGACATTAGAGAGGGGCATTGAAAATACAGACAAAGTGAAACTAAATAAATAAGTAAAAAATAATGTAGAGAGCACTTTATAATAAATATCAAGACTAAATCCTTTCACCAGATCAAGAGTCCATCCGCTGGCAGTGCACCAAATCCTATTACCGAAGACACTAGTAGATCCTCTTTGGAACATTAAATGTCAGACTAAGTCACTTATCCAACTTCCAGGTATCTGCTAAGGTACCATAATTATAAGGCAAATCCTGGGCATTCATATCACTAACATACACCATTCAATATGCTTGTTTATTCAGTTTTACTTTGTCCGCATTTTTTTTTTTTTGCAGTTTAAATCCCTATCTAGTGGTCAGAGGGGTTTTTATTTATTTTTTGTAATAAAATGTTATTTATTTATTTTTTTACCTGCCTTGATTCTTAGCTCTATCTTTGATTTGTTTAAGGTGTCAGACACAGAATGGACACAAATGTCAAAGTTATAACGTGTAACAGAGGCAATCAGGGCCAGATTAAGCTCCATCCAAGGGTGAAAAAAAATCTATTGTCCAGAGTTATTCACAAAGCTGGGTATAAAGCAATTTCACTTACAATAAATGCCCACAATCACATTTCACAATAAACACATAAGACACACTGACCTACATGGCATGAACAGCACAGAGCATATGTAGAATGCTTCACAGACCACCAGCAGAGCCCACCCACCTGTCCTATTCTTATACCTCCAAGTACCTAAAGAGGAGATAGAAAGGATGTGGAAAGTGAAGACCGTAGTATTCAAAGTTGTGAAAGGAACACTCAGGGCTGTAACCCTCAAGTTGAGATAGTGGCTTCAGCAGATTCCAGGTGGGACATCTAAGACATCTGTCCAGTAGAGTGCAGAAGAAGACCCAAAAATTAGGAAAACACAAAAAATACCACCCAGAGAGAGGTGAGAAAGCAAATTATATTTTTATTATATATATATATTAAGCAACAGCTTAGGAAGCTCTTGCTTAATATATATTAATAAATATATATATTAATAAATGTAATATATATTAATAGACTCTTAATGCTAATATTTGAGGAGTCTGGCCAACAGCAGATGGTCAGTATTTCAAGCTGGAGAACAAAGGTCACTGTTGCAGAAGAAGCGGATGTGGTGTATTGAGGTGTGCAATTTCCAATAGCCATTTCAGTTCAATTTGCAATGTTTTAGATAGTATGACCCAAGCCCCTTTATTCCTATACTGGGCATGGGTGTCCGCAGGGGGGGATAAGGGGGGGCACTTGCCCCCCCTGGATTTTTCAGCTTGTCCTGCTATTTTGTGTGAGATTTAAAATGAACTGCAATACCGGCGCCGGCCAGTAGGTGGCGCTGTGTATGGAGAGAGACAGGGATAGGAAGCTGCATCTTATCCCTGCTTCTCTCTGCTGATTGAAACCGCAGGGGAGCAACACATGCAGCCAGAGACAGCCTACAGATCAGGTAAGTGGGGATGGGGGGAGGGATAGCCTATAGATTTTTTTGGTGGGGCAGCAGCCTATAGATTAGGGAGTGAGGGGGGGGGATTTAGATAGCCTATAGATTTGGGGGGGCAGCAGCCTATAGATTTGGGGGGGGCAGCAGCCTATAGATTAGGGGAGTGAGCATAGGCGTGCGCAGCCTATTGCATTAGGGTGTGCACCCTAAAGCACAAACACACGCCATGTGTATATGTATATGTATGTGTGTGTGTATATGTATATATATATATATGTATATGTATATATATATATATATATATATATATATATACACACAGTGCTGTGTGAGGGTGCTGGTAGTGTGCTATGTGGGTGAGGGTGTTGTTTGTGTGCTGTGTGTGAGGGAACTGGTAGTGTGCTCTGTGTGTGTGTGTGTGTGTGAGAGGGTGTTTGTGTGTGCGTGTTTGTTCGGGTCCTGTTAGTGTGCTGTGTGTGTGTTGTGTGTTTGTCAGGGTGCTGTTTGTGTGTGAGTGTGCTGTTTGTGTGTGGGTGCTGTGCGGGTGTTGTGTGTGGGTTTTGTGTGTTTGTGAGGATGCTGTTAGTGTGCTGGGTGTGTGTGGGTGTTGTATGTGTGTGGGTGCTGTGTGTGCGAGGGTGAAGTATGTGTGTGGGTGCTGTTTGTGGGCTGTGTGTGCTGTGTGTAGGTACTGTGGGTGTGTGTGCTGTATGTTTGGGTGGAGTGGGGGCAGATTAGTTAATATCCCAGTCCTGCTGCCTTCCCTGGTGGTTCAGTGTAGAGTGAACTCTAGCCCGGGTTCTCTGCTGCCTCCCTCCATGCTGCTGTGGACCGGTGAGGTAGAACTTTGATCTCCCCACCGGCCCATGGAGGCTTAGACCAGAGCCGCCGCTGGATAGCGTCGGCTCTACATGAGCCGACTGGGGAGATCCAGAGATCTCCCCTGCCGGTCTCTATCCATTGGCGTGCCGCGGGGATTAGGGTGTGCCCAGGCACACCCGACACACCCCGTGCGCACGCCTATGGAAGTGAGGGATGGGGGAGACAGCCTACATGAAGAGTCAGCAAGGAGCAAGAAGGTAAAGTAAGAAAAGGAGAAGGAACAGAAATGAACAGGAAGGGACATCAAGGAGCAGAAAGGGGCAGCAAGGAGCTGGAAGGGACAGCAAGGAGCACAAAAGGTAAAGTAGGAGAAGGAGCACAAAGGAACAGAAATGAACAGGAAGGGTCAGCAAGGAGCTGGAAGGTAAAGCAGCACAAAGGTAAAGAAAAAGAAATGAGCTGGAAGGGGCAGAAGGAGCACAAAGGTAAAATAGGAGAATGAGCAGGAAGGGCCTGCAAGGAACAGGAAGGAGCACAAAGGTAAAGGAGCTGAAAGAATCAGAAGGAGCACAAAGGTAAAGTAGAAAAGGGAGCAGAAAGGGTCTGCAAGGAGCAGAAAGGGATCAGAATGAGAAAGGAGCAGAAGGGCGCTAAATAAGCAGAAAGTAGCATAAAGGTAAAAGAGCAGAAGGGGCCAAGGATAGAAAACAGTGTCAGAAGAAAAAAAAGACTGTCAAATGAAGGAGAGGAAAAGGAGATTGGAGCAGGAAGGACAAATGAAGTGAACCCTCCACTTTATTCTGGACACCATATCATAAGGCTTTGGTACCTGGGCCAGGCAGGGAAACGCTGGACCTTCTCATCTCCAAAGGTAAAAAAATATCAGTATTAATGTGTTCACTTTTATTTACTGAGTGTCAGGAAGCACAGAGTGCCGTTGGGTAGGGGTGTTGCTGATTGGCTAGAGCGGTCAGCTGGCACTCTAAGCCAATCAGTAGCTCCCCATTCATAAAAAAGTAAAAATATTTTATGAACCGGGAACTAGCGATTAGCTTAGAGCGTCAACTGTCCACTCTAGCCAATCAGCGGCACCCATGCTTGACGTCAATCTGCATGTCCTGACACTCTGTTTCAGAAGCTAAATACCACTGAGCGACCTGGAGCTGGAGGAAGCCTTTGGGGTTAAACCATTTGAGAGCAATTTAACCCCTTAAAGGAAAGCGAGCACCCAGGGGCTTCCTGGCATAGCATTTTCATTTAGGTGAAGTTGTTATGGTGACCAAAATGGTCCTTTAATTTGCTTAAAGGAACACTATAGTGTCAGGAATACAAACATATATTCCTGACACCATAGTTGTGAAAACGCCCTTCACCCTGGCTTTATGTGATAATGGCTATGCCCCTTCCCTTTCATGACACTGTCAAAAAGGTACCAAGCATGGATGTCATTACAATTATGCCCCCCCCCTGGAAAAATTCCTGTGGACGCCCATGATACTGGGTGCTGAATTGAAGCATTGAAATTCCTTACCTCAATATAGCCTTTTAATTTATTGCAATGAAGCTATTCTCACATTTGACATTTGATTTTAAATCATACATGTCCCGGCAGATTAGTGCACAATAAGACGTTGCCTGCTTGCCTACTTCAAACATGTATGAAAATCCTAGTGACAGTGGATGACTGGGATTAATTGCCAATTCAGAAGCCATACTAGTACAGGAGAGCAGTTTGACAGCAGGTTATAAACTACTTCTTAAATATTTGCCAGCTATTATGCCTATAAAACTGTCCACAACTTTATACTATATTAAAAAAGAACCAGGGCAACAGCTTTCATGAAACATACTGATGCTGAGTGACTTTGTGCCACAAAACTTGTGATTGTTTGAAACAGATGTTGTTTTACATGGAAAGAAAAATGTTGAACACAAATTATTCAATATGGCGGAACACATTTCCCTTCAAATGAAAATGTGAAATAACTTCCCAAACATTCTCCAGGGAGGGAATTGACAGCCATGTTTTAAAGCGCTAAAGCATGTTTAATTTTATTTTATTTTTTTCAAGGATAGTTACCAATCATTTTCCTTTTTTTTTTTTGCAGTGACCTTTGAGTATCCAATTGCAACAACTCTGATGGTTTTATTCACTCCATGAGGCTTTAAAATCAGAAAAATATCAAAAGAGCTATGCCACTGTGTATACTGAGCAGTACTCGGAGTTATACCTGTTTGATATATTTCTGATTTTAATACCCCATGGGGTGAATAAAGCCATTGGATTTTTACCAGGTCAAGAGTTCATATTTGTAAATCTATTTATGATATTTGGGATCAACCACTGGACACTGGGATAGTGAATACCTTCCATACATACGAATTATGCATTATGTTTTTTAACTAAATAGTTTGCTGAAGCCATACATTAAGTGACTAAGGAGTAGTGTATGTATCACTGTGCATAGTGAGTTGTTTGTGATTTAAGCCATTTCACATTATGCAATGATAGGCTTAACACATTATCGTCCAATGGTGAGACTAAAATTCTATATTTTTACTTGAGACAGGTAATTCTTAAAATGTCTTTTAAGCCTTTAAACTGTTTTTTTTTCTCTGCTCTATATTATCTTGCTGTGCATTACTCAGTGGTTTCACCTTCAAACAGGAAAATATTCAGCTCTATAATCTAATTCTGGTCCTTCTGCAGTGAATATGATGTCATATGTGCATTTGATCAGTAGTCCTCATTCAATTTAATGTAAACTATTATATTGGCCAAGAGTTTATGGGGAATGTACAGCTGTACATTTCATGAATGTATCACTTCTTACAAGTGCTTCTAACCAAAGAGAACTTTAAGATGCATACTTTAACAGAGTAAACCAGAATATATACTGAAAAAGGATAATTTCTATTTACATGTAATGTTAGTAATAGACACAGTCAAGACAAAACATTGGGGTCCATTCGAGTAGTTTATTACATAACATACACTTGTTCGCGCCAAACAATTTAAGTACCAAAAATTTTTAAGGTAAAAAAAGACGCTACATTTAAAAAAATATATAACCCAGTGCAGCATAAAAACCCTCAGTGTAGAGTCACTTCATACACTAAATAGGCAGAAAAAAAAATAAAAAAATATAAAAAGGTAATATCGCAAACTTAGATTATATTTGATTTGCTTTTTCAATATATAGTCCCAGATAGGTCCTTTTTGTAGTAAAAACAATTATACATAAACCCCGTGTAATGCAAATAAAAAGCATACCATAGTGTAATTTGTTACAACAAGTTTAAGGTAGCAAATAATATTGGAAAACACAATTTACAGAGCCATTTTAAAGATTGGCTCTGAACTATAGATGTGTTTCATCCACATATAGGGATAACTGGATGCTGGTGTTGTTGTCCTATTAGGGGGTATATATAGATGTGCAAGCTAGTGATTAGACATACCTACCTGAGGAAAACCATATATGGTTGAAACGTGTTGTGCTTTATATATATATATATATATATATTTACATATATATATATATATATATATGTATGTATATATACATATATTTCTTTTATATATTTTTTTTATATATTGTTGCAATAAAATTCCTTTTTACACAATTTTATTTTGTTCCTAAGTCCTTTGGATGGGCTCCTGAAATCAGATATTATTTCCCAACTGGAAAAGAAACAATGTTATCAAAGATAGTAAAAACAAAATACGTAACACATTCTTTTACTCCAGCGTTTCCCAATTGGTGTTCTGCGGAACCGTAGGGTTCCTCGGAACACTAATTGGGGTTCCACCAAAATTTTTCTAAATAAAATGGCTGCTGGCGGCGAGGGAGCAGTGAGCAGTGATTTCCCTGCTCAGCATCCTCACGCGCACAGCAGTGATGCTGGAGCCGGAATATGACATCATTCTGGCTCCGGCATCACTAAGAGGCGTGCGAGGGAGCTGAGCAGAGAGATCACTGCTCCCTCGTCGCACGCACTCCAGCCTTTCAGTACCCCCACTGGACCACAAGGACTGTTCACCAGCCACCCAGCAGCACCACTGGACCCCAGGGAGTGTTTGCCAGAAGCCCCCCTGGACCACAGGGACTCCATGCCAGCCGCCCAGCAGCCCCACTAGACCCCAGGGACTCCATGCCAGCACTCCTAAAGATAGTGGGGCTGGGTGGAGTAAAATGTTAAAAAAAATTGTATGTGTATATGTTAGAGAGTTTGTATGTGTTTGTGTGTCTGTCAAAGAGTATATGTGTGTTTGTCAGTGAGAGTGAATATGTGCTTGTCAGTGAGTGTGTTAGAGTGTATGTGTTTGTCAGTGAGAATGTATCTGTTCTTGTCAGTAAGAGTGTATATGTGTTTGTATGTGTGTCTGTCAAAGAGTATGTATGTTTGTCAATGAAAGTGTATGTGTGTCTGTCAAAGAGTGTGTGTGTTTGTCAGTGAGAGTGTAAGTGTGTCTGTCAAAGGGTATGTGTGTTTGTCAGTGAGCGTGTATGTGTGTCTGTCAAAGAGTATGTGTGTCTGAGTGTGTCAGTGTGTGTATCTGTATGTCAAGGTTTGTGTATGTGTCACTCTGTGTATCTAAGTGTGTGTATGTGCCAGTGTGCATCAGTGTGTTTGTATGTGCCTGTGTGTGTATGTGTATGTGTATGTGTTTGTGTGTGTGTGTGTGTGTGTATCTGAGTGTGTCAGTGTGTGTATGTGTGCCAGTGTGGGTGCAAGTATGCGTATATCACTGTGTGTATCTGAGTGTGTGTGTATTTGTGGGTCAAGATGTGTGTGTCAGTATGTATCTGAGTGTGTATATCTGTGTGTCAAGGTGTGTGTCAGTTTGTATCTGTGTGCCAGTGTGTGTCAGTGTGTATCTGTGAGTCAGATACATACACACACACACACACATACACACACTGGTGCATAAAAACACAGATATACACACCTTGACTCACACCGGCACATACAAACACAGATACACACACTTTGAAACATAGATACACACACCTTGACACACAGATACATACATACACACACACACAGATACACCTGTGTGTCAAAGTGTGTGTATCTGTGTCAGTGTGTGTATCTGTGTGCCACTATCTGCCAGTGTGTGTATCCGTGTGTCAGATTCATACACACTGGCACATACAAACGCAGATACGCACACCTTGACACACAGATAGATAGATAGATACATACATAGACACACACACAGATACAAACTGAGTGTCAAGGTGTGTGTATCTGTGTGTCAGTGTGTGTATCTGTGTGCCACTATGTGCCACACACATACACAGACACACACACACACAGATACACACACTGGCACATATAAGCACAGATATACACACCTTGACACACACCGGCACATACAAAAAAGGCGCAATTTTTTTAAACAAATTCCGGGGGGGTTCCATGATGTTGATACACTATGTCAAAGGGTTCCACGGGAAAAATTTATAGGGTATCCCAATTACTGTATTACTCTATTTTATTAATTTGATATATTCCTTTATTTTGATATATCTTTGAAGATATAAGGTGAGATTTTAGTGACATAATTTATTCAGTAAGAAATGAATCCACGCATCATTAATATCACAATAAAAAAAAAAAAAAAACATTGCAAAATACAAAGACAAAAGTACTAACCGCAGCACCTCACCTCCCCCTCCCCCCCTCTATAAAGAGGAGATGGGTTGTAGTGACAGTTACAAATCTTCAATCCTAGACAATTACAAAGAAAATTATAAAGACTTACAGGAACAACAGGTTGAAGAGGACCCTGCTCAAATCAGCTTACAGTCTAGAGGAGGTTGGTATAAAACACAATAGGACAGGATAATAGCAATCAAATAAGGGGGGAGTGAGCCAGAGGTGG